TTTGAAATTTTGCCGTTTTTGAGGCGAAAATGGCGAACATGACGTCACTAAAACGTCAATTTCTCAAAAATTTTCCGACGGATTTCGCTCAAATTTTCAGGGAACGTGTCAAATTGATGTATGATAAGGTACTGAAAGTTTGACGTCGCTGGCGTAACGCGTTTAGAAGTTATTGGCGAAAAACGGGAGGGGGGCAGATTCTGCCCCCCCCCCCCCAGCGGGGCGCGGGTTAATTCGCCAGCTTCGGGTGAAATTGTTTTCAGTGCACGGTGGGCAGGTCCCGATTGCCGCCGCCGCCGCCGGAGGGACGCAAACACGCGCGCTCGCAAACGTAAAGGAATCACGGCGCACCTATTATTTCACAAAGCAGAAAATAGCCTGACGGTGCAGAGACGGCCGCCATATTGGCTTGACGGTTCCGAAGAAACAGACGCTGATTTTTCCGGCGTGCCCGATATTTCCGAGCATTTACGCGGTTTATTCTGTTTCTGATCCAAAAAAGGATGGGGATTCGCCACCAGCGTCCAAAAGCTTTCGATCCCAAAATTTATGGCCAATCGCTGTCTCCGAGTATTCCTTGCATCAAACTTACATGAGCTTTGCGAATAAATTAACAATTAAGGCAGAAAATATTTGTAAAATGCAATTGCATGTAGGTATGTCTATACGTACCATGTGCACCGTACATCCGTCCAATACCTATTATACGCGTTCCTTGTCAATAATGTTTGTTTGTCATCTATATATAATAAGGGAGAGCGGGGTAATGGCGACACCATAAGCATTTTCCATAATAACTCAATTATTTTGTTAAGTTCGAACATGTTTTTGCTCCATTTGAAAGCCAACGAAACAGACTTTGAAAGTCAACGAAACAGACAACGAAACGAAACAGATGGCAACCTGCTTAAGTGCGGCAGATAATCGATGACACGTTGAGAGCCTAACGAAAAGTGATGAAAATTTTGCGTGCAAAAAAGCTTGGGGTAATGTCGGACGACTGACGAGGTGTATACAATAGCAGTGGCCAACCCAGAAATTACAGTGAAAATTCTGAAACGGCACTTGTATTCAGCAGCAAACAGTTCGGTGGCCCAACACGAACTGAGCTGTCTCTCTCCAAGGCATTCAGCGCGTTTGTCATCGCTTCTGAAGACCACACTATGGGTCATGTCTGTTTTCTTAAAAAGTAAACGTCAAGGGTGGTCCCTAAATCGAAAAATCGTGTGCAAAAAAGTAATGCACGTGATAGATAAATCTGGGACATTTTGTATGGTGCCATGATTTGTCCCTTTTAACCGAAGGCCTCGGCCCCAATGGAGCCTGAAAATGTCCCACCAATCGGGCACGCATGGTCCACCGCCGTTCAGTAAGGAACGACACAAAATGATGATTTTGAAGCATTGAGGCAGTTCGAAGCATACGATCATCAAGGAGATACCTCAGAAAGACGTTAAATAATGCACGAACAAGCTTATAGTCATAAATAACCTTCAAACGGTCCATCTGGCGTATGTGCAGCCTCTGAAGAATCATTCATCAGGGAGAAACAAAAACAGCGAATCAGACACCACCAGGGCCTCCAGTACCAAAATCCTCGACCTGCACTTTCTAGACTTCTAGTTTTTGGATCCAGGTATGGCACATATAACAAGAAAACAGTGGAAATCTCTGGCAGAGCTAAAAATGGGTGATAACTGATATGAGCCTTTTCAGTCCGTCTAAAGGGTCTAGGAGTCCACGATGCTGTTCAACACGTGCTCAGGCGGGTTGATTCGTGTCGGTGAGAGAAGGGGTAGCTTCAAGCACAAGTAAAATACACGATGGACGTTCCTTCACATCGTGTCTGCATGAAATCAAAATGTCCCAGAATGCTCGTCATGCTGGTATATAATTTTGCAATATATATTGGCATTAATATACAAGCAGTCGATGCAGGGTATCAGTCGATGCACATCACACACTTCACAAAAACAAGACATAAAACATCATTCGTGCTTGATTCGGTCGTCTTCCTACAGAACGATACTTAGTTTAAACGCAGATGATCGGTCATTGATGGTCGGTTTCGCTTCAAATATGTGTAAATATTCTAAAATTCGTAAATTGAAGTTTGAGCGTTTTTGATCTATGATTTTGAAATCGTCTATACTGAAGGGGGTGTCACATGCCAAAGAATGATCCCGTACAGACGATGCTACTGGACTGGATAAGAGTTCGCCCGTTCTGTGTGACCTACCCTTGTGTTGACAAACTCTGCTGTGGAGCCTAACATAGGTAGAACCTATGTAAGATCCTTCACACGAAGGACAACTGAACTTATAAACTACAGCAGATCGACACATTTTAGGGATAGAGTCCTTGAACTTGAACAGAGATCCAATAGTGAAGTTGCTTCTGAGAATGAATCGCGGGCTTAGATATGGGTAGTACTTTTGTAGGAGAGCGCTTATTTCATTTTTGAGCTTAATTGAGCGTTTTCCGAAAAACGGCAAAGTGAAGGAGCTTTCGAGTTTTTCAACCTGTGCTTGATTTGTGATAGTAATGAACCTTCTGTTGAGAAGCTTGGCAATGGCGGCATCTACCAACGACCTTGGGTAACCGTTATCCAAGAAAAAACCTTTCAGGGATCTTAGCTCTAGATAAAGATATTGGCATTTTAACGCCACTAAACCTCATTACTTTTTAACAAGTAAAAAAAAAACTCACCCTGTAGTTACGAGACGTCTAAAAGTTTAAAAATATTATATACATGATTATACCTATACCATGCATTATATATTATATTTCGCATGCAACCATAGCAGCTAGATATTTGTTGCAAATGATTCGGAGTAGTGCCGGACGCGTGTCCGGCGTTACCCCGAGGTCAGTTCAATAAAAAAATGCATGCGACAAACAAACTCTATGCGTTACAAACGTCCCACTCTCGGTATTGTCGCCGGAGAAACCCTATATCAAGGCCCTCTAACCCCCTATATTGGGGGCTATTACGAAGAAGCACTTCTGAAAATGATTTCTCGCGTAACCGTATTCAGCGATAGATGCAATGCAAACAACTTATAATTAGAGTCTAAAAACGCATTTATCGTTATTAGGATCAAAATAATGGAGCTAGTAAAGCAAATATCTTTCTTCGTGCTTTTTTGGCGCCTAACTGAAGCGTAAACACCAGCAGCTGATGAGCGGTAGTCAAAGCACTCGCTAAAGATGTGTGGCCGGCATTACCCACCGTCCGTCATTACCCCGCTCTCCCCAATTAAGACATTTTTGTGGAATGATATGTAGACTCTCCTCCCCTTCCTCTTCTCTCTCTCTCTCTCTCTCTCTCTCTCTCTCTCTCTCTCTCTCTCTCTCTCTCTCTCTCTCTCTCTCTCTCTCTCTCTCTCTCTCTCTCTCTCTCTCTCTCTCTCTCTCTCTCTCTCTCTCTCTCTCTCTCTCTCTCTCTCTCTCTCTCTCTCTCTCTCTCTCTCTCACTCACTCACTCACTCACTCACTCACTCACTCACTCATTCACTCACTCACTTGCTCTCTGCCTCTTTCTTCACCGGCGGATCCAAGGAACATTTCGAGGGTAACGGGGGGGGGGGAGCAGCTAGTGTTACTGTTCTCTGAGTTTCAATTGTTACGGGGCGAGCGAAGCGAGCGGAGTCTTTCCTTAGATTAACGGAAATTTCTGAGTATGAGCGGCCGGCCGTGCGGACGCTTTTGCGAGGCTTATATCTCAGCAACCACTTGACCGATTTACATGCGGTAATTTTTGTCGGGTAGCTTCATTCCTTCTACCAAGTATTGGACTATTCCCGATGCATGTGGATGACCCCTTATGCACGTGCCACGTGCAAAACGAAGAGGTGTCAGTTTTGTAATTGTTGCAATATCTCGGTAACTACTTGGCCGATTGCGCTGAAAGTTTGAACCACTGGTGTCAATCGGTAACCGATTGACACTAGGCACCCACTAGGCGTAGGCACTGCATATCCATGTGCCAGAGTTGGGGTGCTACTGCACGTGCGCACGTGCAGGCCCAGGGGTCGTTTCCAGATCTCGAGAACGGCTGGACCGATGGCGCTCAAATTTGGTACACGGTTAGGGAGCGGTTAGTAGGGTGCCGTGCACAAGTCAGTTGGGACCCATTTTGCACGTGCGTACGTGCAGGGTGCCGCTTCCAGATCTCGAGAACGGCTGGGCCGATTGTGCTCAAATGTGGCACATCGCTATAGACCGGTTAGTAAGGTGCCGTGCACAGGTCATTTGGAGGTACCCCCTTGCGATTTCGCACGTGCAAGGCCCACCCTCTCGCTCGCTCCGTTAGTCGCCCCAAAAGGCGTTATACTGGTATGGTAGATGGTATACCACGACTGCGGAGTCGATGGAGTTTAGGGCGACTCCGCCTCCGACTCCGACTCCGGCTTCAACTCCGACTCCAACTCCGACTCCGACTTCGGACGGTTCTATTAAAATCCATATCATGATATTGAAGTTAATAACGGAGATGTTTTTATCTTGCCTGAAACGATCCCTTGTGCGTTCCAAGGCTTTTTTGAGATGCAAATATGCAATTAAAATAACACGCAGGTTCTGGGGAATTCACAGTCTTGCTTCTTTCGCTGAAAACGTTCGTCCAAAACAGCAACATTACCTTTTTTCGAAAAAAAATATAAGTTCGAGCGCAGCATCGTCAATCAAACAGGTGCAGTGCATGACGTTGAACCATGCAGCGTTAAGCCTCGCCCCCCCCCCCCCTCTTCCACCCCAGTGAAAGTTCCTTAGAGGAGGCCCTGCGAATATGAGTTTCTGTCGCGCTTTCAAACGGTTTTGGCTGGCTGTGCAGGGAACCATTGAATACCGAAGCGGGGCATCAGCCGCAGTTGGGACTCATTGACGGCGCACGGGCCAACACAGGGGCCCGTTGGACAGCGGCGCTTAGTGCATCTGCATTCCACAGGTGTCAGGCACAGACTGAGGCTTGCCCTTTCCTCTGGTACGGATACGGCCGCAGTATCTTTTGGCGAGTGGCGAGGTGCAGGCGGCGGCAGATAACGGTCCGTGTGTGTTCTGTATATGGGACAGTATCTAGCGGTTGGGGGCAGGAGAAGGGTCAGTTGACACGACCATTCCATGGGTTGACGCAAAATTGTTCCGCCATTTTCGAACCCCCCCCCCCCTTAAAAAAGGTTTCGCATGAAGAGTTGTGACTCCTACAGCTTTGAAGATACAGAAAAATGTGTTAGAGGGACCCTCCCACCTTAACATTAGATTTGAGTTGAGATAGCCAAAATGGGGTCCCTGGCTCACAATTACCGGTTTCGGCACTCACAACATCGAGAAATGCCTTAAATCGGAAATATTGAATTTCAAAATTGCAGCATTTTGATTCAGAGGGGCTAATGCTTAGGAGTACCCCTCTGAATGTGTGACGTCAGCGCAGATATTTAACGATTTTTTCATGTTTGACTAAAACGTTTTGTAGCACGCGGTGGTATATGCTGCTTTGCGCGCAACAAGTGCCGCACTTTCAGGCTTCAGCTGCCAAACTATTGCTTCCAAATAAAGTCGCTAGGAACAGCGGAGATCCCAAAAAGTTAACAAAAGTGAAAGTCTAATATCTTGAAAACCGGTGAATATTTTTCGGTGAAATTTGGTAGATATTCGATTTCGCTCTTTCTGAACCGAGCGACATCATAGGGGAAGTTGGGGGAACGCCGAAGACTTTTTTTCTGACGCCCGTAGCACGCAAGGTAGACAACATAAGCTATTCTTGTTGGCGTCATTCGAGAGGCCAGTCTTTTGCCTTTCATACATACCAGGCGCATTTGATGAATTCGCATACCGTTAAGCGCACAAACTAAAAATATCAAAGAAGTGACTTTTTCGGCGTTGCCCCGGACTGCGGGGAAAGCCGAAAATGGGAGAAATGATCTACGGGGAATGCCGACATTGATGTTTTGCCATTTTATCTCAAACTTTATCCAGAATTGATCAAAGCTCACACGTGTTTTAAGAGCTTGAGGACGCGGTGCACACTGGAAGTTATAATTGTGTGATATAGTAAGAACATGCCAGGTAAATCATTCCTTATAGGTAACAGGCCGTTGTGTCGGTTGAAAGTGTAATTTGTGTGACTAAAAATACGCGTTGCTATTCTACAGCAGTAAAGTCCACGTAGCGTGCTTTTAACACGTGCGTAATCGCACGTTTTCGGCATTACCCCAGCCTGCCATACTTTCATTTGCAGGCCCATAACTTTTCAACGTGCTGTATAAATTTCAAATAGGCAGCACACTTATGCAAAGACATGCTAAAGATTACTTGACCGAATTGGCCAGACAAACGGTAGCATAATGAGTAAGAAATGCAGCTTCAAAGGCGCATGTAGTACAAGGGAAACGTACCTTGAAAACGCTCTTGGCGCCCTCACAGTCGAAGTATTCCGAATGACGACTCGTAACAAACATGCGATAATTGTAGTCACTTTGCTTCAGCAAAGTGACTACAAGCTTCAGAGCATCACTGACAGGTGGCATCCATGTCTTACGGTTTTCGAAATATCTCGAATTTCGGCTTTGCCCCAACTCCGGCATTGCCCCAACTTCCCCTAAACTTTTTTGAAGGTAGGAGGGTCCCTTTAAAGGCACAAAAGGTGTAGAATGAACAGGGTTACAAAACTTCTACCTCGAATTTGGAGAAAATTTTGGCTTTTGACCCCTAAAAATTAAAAAAGTAATATTTTGGATACAAATATACCATAATCCTAAAAAACAACATTTCGAGAGAAAAAAAACGGAAAATATGTGATAGATAGCCTTTAGAGGCTTCCATCGATATTTCAACTTTGAGATCGATTCTTCTTTTTTGGCCAAGTAATGGCTAAAAAACTACTCAAAATTGATTACGTCAAGTTTTGAAACTCAATTTTCTGCTGTTCTAAACCATATAACGCAAAAGTAAGACCATCATTGGATTCCCTTTGACGAGGTACATCAAATAGATACCCTTCTTACGCACAAATATCAGTTTTGAAATTTGACCTCATTTGAACTGACCTAACCTTCACCAGAACGTAACCTTAACTGGCTCCAATGGTGGCCTAACCCCAGGGGCGGAGAATTGTCATAATCCCAAGGGGTGCTTTTCTAGCACCTGGCAACTGGAAGCGTAGAGTTCTTGCGTAGAAAAGCACATATAGGTACGTTTTCCCAGCAACATCACTCTCCTATCGTCTTACGCAAAGCACTTTGCGTCTCAGACGTAATTTAAGCACCTCTGAAGCACTATTATATGGTGACTATTGAATTTCAGGGGGTGCTCGAGGCTCGAGCACCCTCAAAACCCTTAATTCTCCATCCAAGCCTAACCCACATATTATAACCTAATTTTCCATGTAAAATAAACCACAAAACATGCGCCCTTAGTATAGTTGGGTTCATATCGTGACCTTAAGTAACCTGACCTCGATGAGCTAACCTGGCATCAGTGACCCCAGTTAGCAAAATATGTGTTAAACAAACAATTCCCAACCGACGATTTTCAATAACATTGTTTTCACTCGATGGTATAACACATTTTTTTTTAGAATGACAGTAAACGGTCAAAATGCGACCTTTGACCTGACCTGTGACGTCATCCACTGGACCTAGGTCCATGAAATCGAGTCACAAGGTAGTTCCCCGGTAAGGCCATTGAACACCGTTTGAATTTTGAAAATTGGTCGGTAACTTTCCGAGATCTTACGGGGGCCGAAACGCCCCCGTTACGGGTGGCAGGGTCCGCCAGTAGCCCTACGGGACGCGGGTTAAGGGGACGTAGCCAATAGCCAATAGCCATATACTTCGATATCGATTATAAGTCCGGATCACTGTTCTCTACCACGACGTCGGTAAACGACTCTTCGACTCAAACTGCCTCGTGTTTCCCTCTTAGCACTACACGGACCTGGAGTTCCATGTCATCATGTGCGCCTCTTTGGCTCATCTCATTTCGCGCTTCTTTCAGAGTACTGCGAATCTCGAGCGTCGGAACTCCGCTTATTACCTACTGAATACGACACAAAAGAAACAAGTTGCAAACATCGGTACCCTTCAACATGAATCTTAAGTCATCATTAGGATATTCCAGCGATACGGATGCGGTGAATGATACCCTTAAACAGAGCCACTTCGCACCAGCTTACAACGGCATCACGTCGGACAAGCGGCCTAGCTCGGCCGTTGCCGAGGACACCCCGCTGGTGCCACCGGACTCCGGAGGCTACTCCACGCGACAGCGGCGCCTTCTGGTCGGCATGAACGTCGTCAGTGTGCTGAACGGCTCGCTGATGGCGCTGATGATCCCCTTCTTCCCGGTGGAGGCTTCCCGACGAGGCGTCTCGCAGACGGCCATCAGCGGCGTGTTCAGCTGCTTCGCGCTCACCCAGGTGGTGCTGTACCCGCTGGTCGGTCCGCTGGCGCTGCGTTTCGGCGTGACGCGCCTCTACAACGCTGGGATCGCCGTCGCCGGCGTCTCCACTGTGGCGTTCGGGCTCATCTTCTACATCCCGGGCAGCACCGGCTTCATCGCGGCATGCTTCGTGGCGCGGATGGTGGAAGCAGCCGGCACGGCGGCCGTCTCGGCCTGCTCCTTCACCATCATCGGCAACCAGTTCGCCGAGCGGACCAGCTCGGCTGTGGCGATGGTGTCGGCTGCCCAGTCGGTCGGCCTCTCCGTGGCCCCGGCCGTCGGCGGCGGTCTGTACGCGGCGGCCGGCTTCGGACTGCCGTTCTACGTCCTGGGCGCCGCCATGATTGTCACAGCGCTCATCAACGCCCAGTTCATGCCAGCCGTAGTGAAGCAGGACGACGCCCCCGTGAATCTGCTCCGCACAGTCCGCCTATTCATCGGCTCATACGAGAACTGGCTGTGCATGGTGATCGTGTTTAGCTACACGGTGGCGTTCGTCACGTTCTCGTCTTGCGCGGCGCCTTACGCGGACGCCGTGCTGGGCATCACGCCGGCAACTCTCGGCCTCTACTTCACGGTGGCGGCTGGCTCGTACGTTGTCACCAGCTTCCTGTGGGCGTGGCTGGCCGAGCGTGCCGCAAACCCGTACCCGGTGATGGCGCTCTGCGTGCTGATCGTGGTCGGCAGCCAGCTGCTGATCCCACCAGCCCCGTGGCTCGGCCTTCAGCCGCGCTGGTGGCTCTTCGGCCTAGGCATGACGCTCCAGGAGGCGTTCTACGGCGGTGCCTACATCCCCTGCTTCCAGCTGATGATGGCCGCCACGCTGCGCACCGGACTGCCCGACGACCTGCGCACGCATGCCTTCATCTCCGGCGTCTACTGGAGCATGTACTCGCTGGGTACCGTTGTTGGCCCGTTGGTAGGCGGCGTGCTGGTCGACGCTTTCGGCTTCCCACTGATGATGACGGTCATGGCGGGGGAGACTCTGCTGGTAATGTTGTTGACCGCTGCCCAGGCCGCTGTCCGTGCATGTGAGTAGATCAGTGTCCGATAGGGAAGCAGTTAATTATCTTGCCTTTTACGATATTACACCTACCTAATATATTCCGGCCAACCAAGGCCGGCTAACACAGCATTCAGCCTGAGTTACCGATCAATTGGTGTAGAGCTCTGCGCAAACTGCAAAGGGTACCTGACCTTGTCAGCGGCGGTCGCAGACTTGGAGTTTTTTTCGGGGGGGGGGGGCAACTTGAGAAACAGGCCCCTACCGACCCTCGGGGGCCCGGTGCTAACTTAAAGGTACCCATTACCATACCGGCCTCAAAGGCCGGTATGAGGTCGCAGAGGCTGATGTGGGCCCTCAGAGGTCAGTGCGTGACGCTCAAAGGTAAGTCTTGGGCCCCCAGAGAACATAAAAGGCCATCAGGTCGGTTGGGGGTCTATAGAGGCCAGTTTAAGGCCACCGAGGCTATTCTGGGGCCTCAGATGTCAGTGTGAGACCGCTAAAGACCGGTATGGGTCCTCAGAGACAGGCATAGATCCTTCAGAAGCCAGTACGGGCCCTCAGAGGCTTTTAAGGGCTAGTCTTGGGTCGCAGAGACAAATGGGGGTATCAAAGGCCAGTGTGGGACCTTTAGGGGCCGGTTTCGGCCCTAAGAGGCCAGTTAAAGGCCCTCGCCCCTCAGAGACCAGTACAAGGCCCGCCAAGGGCAGTTCGAGACCTTTAGAGGCCAGCTTGAGCCATCAGAGGCTAATGTGGGTCCTTACAGGCCGGCATGGGCCCTAAAGACCGGCATGGGCCGGCGTTGGACTCCAGAGGCCAGCAGAGGGCCCTCAAAGGCCAAGATGGGTCCTCAGAGGCCGATGCGGGTCCTTAGAGGCCCGCATCGGGCCTTCAGAAATCAGAATCTAGTGCGGGGCACTCGGAGGCACATAAAGGTTAGTTTTGGTCTTTGGGAGCCCAGAGACAGAGATGAGGCCACCAGAAGTCGGTATGAGGCCCTCAGACGCCGGTTGGGCCCCTGAGGCCGGTTTAGGGCCCTTAAAGGCTAATGGAGGGCCCTCAGAGGTCAATGTGGGTGCTCAGCGGTCAATGTGGGTGCTCAGCGGTCAATGTGGGCGCTTGACCGCCACTGAAGGGCCCTCAGAGGTCAGCGTAGGACCCTCAAAGACCGGTATGGGAGCTGTTTATAGCTGGCGAGTGTTTTTTTCCTCGTGACAATCGAATAAAGGCCAGGGCCCCATACCGCCATGGGGCCCATCGGTTGTTTGGGGGGGGGGGGGCAAATGATATGATGGCCTCCGGGGCAAAGCGGACACCGGCAATTTCTCGGTCCCGATATGAGAAACAGGACAGTTGCCTCACGTACGACTACGGTTGTTGATGGTACCAAGGTTTAAAGGTAGTGTGCCAGCTTTCTTGGACCGTATGGAGTTAATGACCCAGATAAGGAGAACCGGATTTTTAGAACTTATCCATACCTTCAAAACTCATGGAAACGTCTTAAATTCTTCAAATTTTGAGTACCCCAGTGCGAAATTCGCCCCGACGGGTTGTCGGTCGTACCCCAACCACATTTCACACCACTATGAACAATAAATGCACACACTGAAATCGCTATTACCGATATGCTCATCCAATCAAGTTTCGATAAACCCGTTCATCATCAGCTCCTGCGGTTTCGAACACGCCTGTTAGGTGGTGCGGTAGACCACGCCCAAAGCCAGGGCCCCGGTAACGTGAGGTAGCCGAGTCAGGGCAGCGTGCGCTGACCCAAGCCGGAGCCGCGCGTCCTCCCGGTGTCATGTGATAGCCCGGGGCTGCCCGCGGGGATGCGGTAGACCGCGCCCAAAGCTGCGGCCCCGGCTTGGGTCAGCGCACGCTGTCCCGACTCGGCTACCTCACGTTACCGGGGCCCTGGCTTTGGGCGCGGCTTCTGCTCATACTTTGTGGTGCGGTGGTGGTGCGTCGGGCTGCGCGCTCTGACCTCGGCCAAGAAAAATGCGTCAGCTGATCATTGTCATTTCTGCCACTTGCGTGTGGTGAAATGGGGTCATAACTTATAAGACGGCTTTTTCATATCAATTATTTTACATAAAATCATATTTCAAACCATAAATAATGTTCGACAGCCAAAGAAAAGAAACAATACCAATAGGGGCTTACAGTTTAAGGCTCGACATTGTGTTGTCTACGATTAGACAGCTGATAACTCATTCCCGTACGTCGTATGGTCGTAACACTATAATGACCTTTGCTTATTGTCACAAGTGCGCTGCATTCGCGATTGTTGCCCGACGCCTGTTTGCAGGTGAGCCCACTACAGTTGTTATACATATCTAAAAACCGATAAACTTTTAGGCGAAAAAGGCACTATTCCAGGCCCATTTTTGATTTTTTTTGCGATATTAGGTGAAAACAGAAGCTTCTTATCCTAGGAAAAATAAAATGGGAAATCTTTCAAAGGTGGCACACTACCTTTAAACGAGGATGGATGCCTGTTTTGTCATCTTCCCACCTGTAGATAAACAATCGACATTAACGGAAAACAGTGCGTTGCATTTTTGGGTAACTCATGTAGGTAAGTGGTCACCGAAAAGTGGCCAAAATAAACGCATGACGATGCATTTAAATATCAATATTTTTTTGTCCAGATGCAAACAACTTATGGCCAATTGAGAACTAGCCACTTTGACCCGTCCATTTTGACAAAACTATTCCAGCCCAGCTTAGGTAGGAGAGAACCGTCCAAAACGCCCCCTTAACCCTATTCCTGGCGGGGGGGCCTCAGGAGCCCCCCCCTGAGGTTTTTTGGTTATATCTCCCAAACGCGTTGAGCTAGGAAGCTCAAATTTTCTGACTTTTCCTAAAAGGCTTCTACGCAACATGTCTGAAAATTTTGAGTTGATCTGACCTCAGGTCAGGTCACCAGAGGCGGTTTGGTGACGCTACCTCAGAAAAGTTTGCAATCACGCCAGAGCTAGAGTTTTTGACCGATCAATTTCTTCTCTTCAGGGTTTAGTTAGGGTACCAGTATGTGCAATTTGCATATCTCGGAATTTTGATATCGGTGACCTAAGGTCAGGTCAATTTCGCGACCTCCCCATTATAAGTCAATGGGGGAAAAATCAACTCCCTGTTTTTACCACTAAAACGGGTCGGAATGGCCCCATATACCATACATGACTTCATATACGATCAACCTTCACTACCTTGAGGTCTGTTTTGCTGTTGGGCAGCTGTGAGGTCATGTGACGTCATCAAAGGTCACCAAAGGTTTTTGGCCAATAACTCCGTACAGGAACAAGATACAGACGCGTGGATGGTCTCATTGTGTTCAGCTCGTCAAGACGCATCGAATGATATACATGATGACCTCGAGGTCACGTGACCTGAGGTCAACCTTTGACCTTGACCTTTCGAGGTCAACATATATATCATTCGATGCGGATTGACGAGAGGATCACGATGATGCCCTTAGTTTGTTCCTATCTTGACTAATTCGAAAGTTATTCGAGAAAAACTCTCTCCATATCTAGTGCCGCCATTTTGACTTTTTCGACCCCTGTGACGTCATCTTTGACCTGACCTGAAAATGACCTTAGTAAAAATTGTAGATCTTGGCCGTGCGTATCCGATGCCGTTTACCGCTTGTCGCTATCTTGCTTCGTTCTCGAGATCTCAGGGGGGGGGCCGAATCGGCCCCCCCCCCGCCAGTTTCTTGTCCCGGCGGAGCCCGCCAGGAATAGGGTTAAAGGAAACAGTTCACCTTAACATGGGGTTTTGAACTGGAATAGCAGTTTTAAGGCTTGAGCTGAGACTAGCACAAATCAGAAGCTTTTACGTCCCAACGATCACACTTGACGAAGATACTCCATTTCTCGTTCCGAAAAGAGTGCCTTGCAGAAGAATGCGTGCCTTGCTGAGGAATGCAGCCACGTCATCGTCAGTCAATCAGCATGCTGCTTACAGCCAACGGGTTTGTACTATACGCAATATGATTGGTCAGAGCGTAATAAGCTTCGGCGTCAAACAATATTTTGTATAGAATATAGTTATTCCTATACTAACATAAAAATTGTTATAAAAAGGTTTTATTTGCTTTGCTGATCATTTTTAGCTATACAAAATCATAAACCCATTGCAAAAAAAAACTAATTTCGGGAAAGAGAACTATTATTCCCTTCACGGAAAACGGTGTGTCACCGCTAAACTGGTTATTTCACCATGCGTCATTAGGTGAATTTTGTGAAAGTATTATCTTTCTAGTTGAGGTTTATTTGCCATTGGGTCACAGTGCAGGGATATTTCTATCTCCCACTCCTCTGAGATGCAAAGATAAGAATTTGTTATATCTGCATCCCTCTGAGATGCAAAGATAAGGTCTCGAGGGTTCATAGCGAAAAATCAAGAGTTCATGTGATGATGGGTCAATAACCGAACGACATTTCTAATGGTTGTTTATGGATGAAACTTATGAAATAAGAACAAACTACTCTGAATCTATTTTTACATAGATGAATGCATTTAAATATAATATTTTATTGATTAAGAAAAAACCTCAACATAGAAAGATATAGGATTCCCCATGGCTCACTCGTGGAAGATCGGATATCTTTTCCTCGCGTGTTACAGAAAAACCTCGCTCCTTCGTCGCTCGGTTTTTCAGTAACCCGCTTGGAAAAGATATCCTTATCTTCCACTCGGAGCCATGAAGAATCCTCTATATCACGAGCGAGCGAGCGTAGCGAGCGAAGTGAGTCTTTTCAACATAACGGAAAAATCTCAGTATGAGCGGCCCGGTCCGGCCCGGCCTGTAACGCTTTTGAGAGGCTTATATCTCAGCAACCGCTGGACCGATTGGCCTGCGGTCTTTTTTGTTGGGTAGCCCCATCCCTTCTACCCCGTAATTGACTGCTTTTGATACATCTCAGTGACCGTCGTGGCACGTGCCACGTGAAAAGTCAAGGGTGTTCAAGATGTTTTGCAAAAGTAGTGATTTTGAGAGGCTCATATCTCAGCAGCCGCTTGGGCGATTGACTTGCGGTAATTTTTGTAGGGTAGCAGCATCACTTCTACCCAAAATAGGATGCTCTCAATGTATGTGGGTCACCCCCAGTGCACGTGCAAAATACAACAATAAGAG